ACCCAGGTTTCCCACATTGCAGGCAGATTCTTTACTCTCTGAAGTCTTCCCCAGAATTCTGTGCAAATCCAAAGTGAGAAGAGACATGGATGAAGTTGCTTTGAAAGCTTCTCTGCCTCTCCCTGGCCCCTTCTTCTCTGAGCTCCTCTCTGCTCCATCCCTGGTGTTCAGGTGGCCACGTGGCCGGGGGCAGGAGGCTGAGACCGTGGCCCTGAACCCTTCCCTCCAGCCCAATGCTCCATGGCCCCACGGATGCTCAGGCTGGCATCGGGACCAACCCCTCGCTCCATCTCACCGTCTGTGTCCCTGAGCCGAGTCTCATGGCTCAGGAATGTTGGCTCCTCAGCTCTGGTGAGAAAAGCCAAGCGAACGCCGTGTTAAGAAAAGCAGCTACCGTATATTATTACTTGAACAAATGAAAATAATTCCCCCGGATCACATTGCTGGGGCCTGCCAGGCCCCAAGCCCCAGCGTGACAATGCCTTAAATTCCACGTAGGTCTAATCAGACTTCTGAGGACCTGAGCTCTAGAGCATTTAGCTCTGGCAGTGGAGAGGGGCGTTTTGCAGGGGCGGGTGGGACACACAGGGGACATACAGGGTCTTGGCGTGAGTTACCTCTGGCGGAAATGCCCCTCAGAGTCTGAGGTGGACCAGACAGCCATCCCAGACTCTGGTCTTTGTTCAGTAGGCCACCGGACTGATGGAAGTGTCTCCATGTCTTTAAAGTTCTTTCTTCTAGGGCTGCCGGGGGTCATTTGCCCCCTTTCCTCCTGGTTGTCTATGGGCATGGGAGTTGGGGAGGGGGTTGCATAGATAAGGAGGGGGAGGTGAGAAAAAACCCAGAGAACTCTTTGTCCCAAGACCCTCTCCTCCTGGAGCCCAGCTGCTGCTTTCTCGGTCCCTAGCTGAAATGGAGAAACAGCACCTCCTGGCTCTGAAGACGCCTGTCCTTTCTAATCCCCGTCCCTAACACACAATTGCATCGGCAACTGAGAAGCGTTTGAAGATGCCTCCACCGGGCCTGTCGTGCTTCTCACTCCTCATTCTGGCATTGCCCTGGTAGCAGGCAGGCTGCAGACAAAGCCATTTGGGAGACTGTCTGCAGGGCTCCCCAGGCCCCTGGCTGCAGCACAAGCTGCCCCCAGCTCTGGGGTCCCATCTCTGACCCTTCCACCTACTGTTAGCACCAGCGACTCTTCGCCCCATACGCTCAGACTCCATCTCCCGCTAGCGGTGAGAAGCAGCCAAGGGCAAGAGAAAGACCTGATCCTCCCCTCCCTGCAGGTTAAGGCCCCAGGTAATAACTGACGGCCTCTGTGGATGAAACAAATGCTGTGCTTCCCCCGTTGTCATGATGCCATTGATGAAAAGGATGGAGACACAGTTATACTGAGTAAAACCAAAGTCACTGAGAAGCATAACTGAATTCCTAGTAGATTTTCGTCACTATGTACTTTTCTCAGCTAAAGGATTCTAACAGTACCATGTCAGGTGGAGATCTTTGATTTGTTTTTTTCTTTTTTAATTTTAAAAAGATCAAGGCTATGGGAACTCACTGATTCCTGCCTCCGTCCCCATCAGAGGGAGCAGAGGTCTGGGCTCAGAGATGGTTTGTGACTTTGTAGGAAGTAAGATAGTGGCTGGAGGCTAGGAGTGGAAACCTGGGCATCAGTCTACATACCTCGTGCGTTTCTGTTTCAGGCCTAGGGCATCACCCGTGGAGGCAGGTCTGCACACAAACCTGATTCACCTGAGGCCTCAGAGACTCAGGGTCCCATCTTCAAAACGGGGATGACAATCAGACATGCCTCCTAGCTGTGCTGGGGGTACTGCCCAGAAAGCATCCCCAGGGCACCTGGCGAACAGTAGGTGCTCAATATGGGGGAGCTGTTTATATTGTCTAAACACTGCCACACGCTCTGCACCCCTCCTTCCAAGGGAGGAAGCCTGTGGGAGTCCACTCTCTAGGTGGGTTTTATTGATGCTTATTTTCTTACCATGGATTTCCCTGTAAAGAATCTGCCTGCAATGCAGGAGATGTGGGTTCAATCCCCGGGTTGGGAAGATCCCCTGGAGAAGGGAATGGCAACCCATCCCAGTATTCTTGCCTGGAGAATCCCATGGACAGAGGAGCCTGGTGGGCTACAGTCCATGGGGTCGCAAAGGAGTCTGACATGACCTAGCGACTAACACTGTTACTCACTTTCCTACCTTGCCCCCTGCCCCTCCCTCTGTCTGTGCCCCCAGCAGGGGTCCCCAGCCCCCGGAAGAAACCCCACTCAGGGAGCACAGTAGCAGCTGAGCATGCAGGGAAGGGAGACAGCTCCAGGGGCTTAAAGGGAAATGGTGTGAATGAAATCGCCATCCATCAGGAGTCTTCCTGGCTCCGGGATCAGCGGCAATAGTTTATTCAGACTGTGATAACGGCCCCTGGGGGGCACTGCAGGCTGGGGAGAGGGGGTTCAGGAGCATCTGGTGGTGGGCTTGGGACTCCGGGGAGGACGATCTCCCCTCCAAGAAGGTGCCCTTGGGCAGATACCCCTGGGAGGTATATGAGGGGAGGAGGTGGAGGTGTAGATGGTGGGCAGGGCTCCTCCCAGGGAAGGCCCCCCTTTTCCGGGACTCTGGCGCTGCAGTGAGTCCTGTGGACCCTCTTTGAAGTCATCTGCTGAGGAGTGAGGGGTCAGGGGTGTCTGGAACATCAGGGGTCAGCCTACGCTTCAGAGTCTCCCCCTTCTTGTGGTCCTGGAATGCTCTGTCCACTCCCAGCGGTCCTGCTGGTCCCGGCCTTCCTGGCTTCTCCTATGGGGACCCCAGGTTTCAGGTGGGACGTGGACACACTGATCCTCTGTTTGTGCCCTTCCCCCACCTCACAAATTTCTTTCAGGATAAGGAGAAAGAAATACTAAGTATCTTGTTAATGAAGGTGGCAGAGATAAGGGTTGATGTAATCTGTACTTCCTTTGAAAAGATTCACTTTGCAGAGAAGCTCAGAGCCAACGGCCCCCATTCCTGGCCCAGTAACCAGTGGGATCCAGGCAACACGCAGGTGGCTGGGAAGGGGCTGTCGGGGACCATCCGCTATACCGGGCGGGGCACTAGCTCCATCGAAGCCCTGCTGGCTCCGGGGGCCTCCTGCTCTCTCCATCACACAAGCAGAGAGCAGTGAAAAGGACATCTGAGGATCCCTGTTGCAGACCAGTTTCATCTCCCGGCAGCCCTCAGCACTGGTGTGACCCTCGGCCAGCGTGGATTCCCTGCCCTGCAAAGCCCATGTAGCCTGGTGGCCCCTAAACCTGCTTGCACCTCAAAAATACCTGGGAAACTTGAAGAATAAAAACAAACATATGCAGGCTCCCCGAAGCAGCCCTAATGACTGAGCATCTCTAAGGAGGGTCTCCAGAAATCTGGCCTGTGACAAGTTCCCAAGGTGGTGTGAATGCAGGGGGTCCTCCCATGAGACTCATCTCTAGGAAGGAGGAGGGCAGAGCCTGTGGCAGTGTTGAGACAACATAAATGACTCCCCTGTATTGAGCACCTACTGTTTGTCAGGAGCCCTGGGGATGCTGTCTAAGCACTATTCCCCAGCAGCCCCGAGAGATGCATCTGATCTTCATCCTCATCTTGCAGGTGGGACCCCAGGTCTGTGTGTAGACCTGCCTCTGGGCTCTGCAGGTGATGCCAGTAGGCCCCCAGCAGTAGCGCCTCCTCTCGTGGTATAGACTAGGATGTGGTTCCAGCTCCAGCCTACCTGCCCTCCAGCCCCTTGTCCTCAGAGGCTCACTGATTCTGATGCATGCCTTGTCTCCACACAAACCAACCCAGACAGAGAGGTGTTAGCGCTGCAGATCACAGGCCAAGACTACCTGGGCTCCCCCTTTGGGTATTTCACAGCCCTGATGTGTTGGGACAGCCTCTCTGGATGCTGGCCCCGGGTCCCAGAGCCTCTGCGTTCACTTCCTGCTCCCATCTGTCCCCATACAGGGGTAGAACGGCCCTCCACACCCTCCCCAGAAATAGTCACTCTGCTATTCCTCGACCGTGGCTCACAGATCTTCCTTTTTAGCCTTCTTATTTCGGTCTGAGAACTCCCAGTGTCTCTGCCTTCATAGGAATGCTTTCCCCGTCCACGTTTTGGAATATGCCAAAATTATGGGCTGGGAGCCCCAGGAAGGAAGGGGTCAGAGAGAGCAGAGATGTGGGGAATCGTGGAAGTTGGGGAGGTTAACCCAAGTGCTAGCATTGCCCCCACCAGTGGTGATGGGTGATGGGAGAAGGCAGAGGTGGGGTCTGGTGCCAGCCAAGGGGGTACAATGGGGGGCATGGTTCTCTGGCGCCTGGGATCAGAGGTCAGAGGGCTTAAAACCTTAAAGTGAGATGTCCACACACGGATAAGGGTGAGGAAAAGAGCTTCATTTCTTCTCCCCGAGCTGTGCTCGTGGCTGGAGGGTGGCTCCTGGGAGAAGCATGTCTAGGCTGAAACACGGGCCTGCTTCTCTGGGCCTCTCTGGCTCAGGGCCTGATCGTAAGCTTGGAGAGCAGCTTTATGCAGAGCTCCGGCTTCCCTTGGACCCTATGACTCTCTGAGCTATGGCTCCTTTCTTGCTACAAGGCTCCGACGGGTGGGATCAGGAGAAACATGATCCAGCCCAGAGCTGCAAGCACCTCACTTGCACCGGCTCCTCCCACAGCCCCCTCCTCATTCTAGATAAATATGCACATCTCTGCTCAAGAGTTTGCACTATTTTCTTCAATTGCACACTCTTCATGCCTCATGCAGGGGCTTCCTGGGTGACTCAGTGGTAAAGAGTCCACCTGCCAATGCAGGAGGCGTGGGTTCGATCCCCAAATTGGGAAGATCCCCTGGAGGAGGAAACGGCAACCCACTCCAGCCTGGAGAATCCCAAGGACGGAGGAGCCTGGCAGACACAACTGAGCGACTGAGCACACAGGCAGGCCTTGTGCAGCCTGAAGCTTCCCCTGGCCTGATGGACTCACCGTGGCATATAATTTTCCTTTACTGTTCATGGCGACAAAGAGGGCGCTCTTCACCCCAAAGAGGCTCACCACGCCTCGCTCCACCGTGGAAATCTCCAGCAGGCCTGCCAAAGAGATGCGGGCTATGTTACCCCAGGATTGTGCAAAGCAGAGTGGGATGTCAACCTAAAAGTGACCCCCTCCAAGGGCATCTAGGCCCACCCTCCTGCTTCTAGAAAGTCAGGTCTTCATAGCCTCCACCCTGATCTCACTTTAGGAGCTGAGTTGCCAGGCTGGTCCATTCTACTGAACTGTTAACAATCGAGTTTTGCAAGGGGGAAGTTCTGACATTGGAGTTAGAAATCCCAGTGGCCACCTGGGCATCTACTTAAGGGTAGCTTCGAGTCTGGGCTTAATCACATGAGGTCCTTGACATGGATAAAAAAAAGTGAATTCTGATTAGCTTTGTTTAAAATATCTCCTCGCATTTCAACACATCTCAGCCCATCTAATTTTGCAAACACTGCAGCCACACAGAGTCTGACGGCTGCCCTGGATCCTCCAGCCCCATCCCCTCCTGGGGAGAGCCCATCTAGACAGCAACCCACCAACTTGTAAGGCAGGCATGGGGGGTGGGGGCAAGATGAACTAGAAAGAAGGACAAGCTGCAGCTGGAAATTTTGCAAACGACTTGCCTTTCCTCTCAAAGAGGGAAGCGAAATAAAAAGCAGCTCAGGTCTAATCTGGTTTAAGCATCCTTGCCAGTTCTCTCCACCCTCATTTTGTGGCTCCCCCTGGGTGGGGGTTCCCGGTGGTCCTACAAGGCCACGGCTGCGCCTGAAATGCTGAATGAATTAATGTCGCAGGGGCTCCTTGGGCTGATGGGAGAGGATGCTCAGACCTCTGCCTATGCATCCTGCAGAAGCAAAGTGAGTTGGGGGAGGTGGCTCAGCTAGTGGGCACCCAAGTGGAGAAGCCCCCTCCACCCTTCATCACAGCCAGGCACAAGAGACCTGCTGGGGTCCCAGCCCCCAGCTTCCCCAACTGGCTGCGGCTAGCACTCACTGTAGGGGTTCTCCTCGTGAGTCCCGCTGATCCGGCCGTCGGGGGGCACCTGAAGGTGGAAGCCGATGCCCACGTTGCAGTACAGTCTCCGCTGCCGCTTGATTCCCACCAGGTAGCCGCTCTCCCAGTTCACACCGGCGATCTCTCCGGCCAGCCCAGCCCGAGACCTGGACAGCAGGGTGCCCCAGCCCCTCGAGGCTAGCAGCGTGCCGTTGGCTCGGGTGCCCGCGGGAGAGGGCACCACCATGCCCACTAGGACGCCGAGGAAGACGAGAGCCCGCAGCGTGCCCTGCGGACGTCCTGCTCCCCGGGACATAGTGATGAGCAGCGTCTGTCCCCGGGCCATCCACCTTGCCTCTCAGGCACGTGGTCAGAATTAATGGCCCTAAAAATACCGCCCTTCTTGTTTTTCTCCCCTCGGCATGGCGGCAGGGGCTTATTTTTGGAAGGCAGTTGAAGGCTGCTGACATGAAACCAAAGCCGGCTTTGGGCACTTGGGTCTGGAGCAGAGGGACCCAGGCTGAGCCGCGGCCGGTAGGGACCATGGCTTGGGGACGCTGCCTGGCTGGCCCGCTCGCTCCGACCCGAGTTGATTATATCAGATTGGACCTGTCTTTATAGTTCAGCTGCCTGGCCCTCCCCACCACCCATCATCACCCTGACGTCAAGTGGCCCAGCTCACTTATCCAGGGCTGTAACATTAACCTGCTCCAGGGCCTGGCTGCCTCCCCAGACCCCCGGCACCCTCCCCACACCCCACAGATTCTGGGAGCTGCTGTCATTCCAACTATGAGGCAGGAATGAAGTGAGCAGGGCGCATCTCTGAGGGAGGGGGAGTTGGCTGGGAGCCCAAGGGAAGAGGGAGGCGAGAGGCCACCCAGGACCCAAATTGGGCAGAAGTCCTTGGCCTGGCAGCACTGGCTTCCTTATTTAGAGGGCAAAGGGTAAAGCCAGGGATGGGGGAGGCGTGGTGGCGGGTGATGACCGGGGCCTTTGAATCACCCTGTTCATGGAAAGAGCTCATGGTTGAGGGCCACCGAGGCTGGGGAGATACTGGAAGGCTGCACCCCTTTAGCAAGAGAGGATAGGGATTGGACGGGGGTCTTCAAGGGTCTTGAGGATTGTGGAGGGAGGTGGGGCTAGGGTTGGGCTTCTGTTCCCCACACAGGTCCTGGCGTGCAACCAGCCAGAGGGTGGGAGCTGCGTCCAGCCCTGGACAGAGCCACCGGCCCTTTTCCTACTGGGGTTCACCCCTGGCACCTGACTGGTGTCATTCCCATTTCACAGATGAGAAAGTTGAGGCAGGGGGCAAGCTTAAGTGAGTTGCCCAAATGACGACAGCTAGTAAGCTGCAAAGCCAGAAGATAAAGTCGGCCAGAGTCCAAAGCCGGTGCTTGCAACTTCTGCATGACCCGTTGTAGAAGTGAGATTTTCATGAATCGAGTGAGCTTGCTCTAGGCCAAAGGTACCTAGTAGAATCATTTCAATAGCACTCACTCACAGTGGAGGCTGCGGCCAACATGGGGAAGTTTTCTAGGATGAGGCCTGCTGCTCAGGGCCTTTGCTGAGACCCCATGCCTTCCCCTCCAACTGTAAGCTCCGGCCTTGGCCTGGGTCCCCACCTCTAGTCCATGGAGTCCACCTGCCTTCTGCCCACTGCTTAGTTCACCTGGATGATGCTTTGGTTAGGATTTTTGCCAAACCTTGCATGTCCATTTTGTCCTCTCAGAATCCTTGAAGCCCAGTGGTCTTCTGTGAATACTTTCATCTGGTAAAATGTGGGGAGTAGGGGACGGAAGACGTGAACTTCCACTCCGCCATCGGCCTCACCCTTGGGCCCCCAGCCTCCTGGCCTCCCATCCCCATCATCTGCACCACCGTTTCATCCACAAGGAAAGATCAGAACCCAGTGGGTACAGAGCGGGTCAACTATATAAGCCCTGTTAGAAATTACTTTAAATATATATATACACACATATACATAATTTTTAAAAAGGATCTCTCTGCAAAGTAGGATGGTCTTGAATAATCAAAAACAGAACTGTCAAAAATGGACTTTCACGCTGGACTTCCAGGTAGATGGCGTATATTTACCCTTTCAACATCCAGGAGCGGTGGAGACATCCCCTCACCTGTGGCCACTTTGGAATCTTGTGTTCATGCTGCTGCTGCTTGGACTTCAGGAAGAGGCAGCCCGTCAGATGGTGAGAAGTTAGTTTGAGATGAGTGAACCCTTGCCTCGGTTGATTGGAGAGGCGCACATGAGCAGGGGGCCAGAATCTCTGCAGATTTCTTCCTGAAACCCACCTGCTTTGGGACCCCTTTGGAGGAGAGATTAAACCATCACAGGGTGCTTGCCGAGTATCACCAAATGTAGTGAACCTCTTTAGATTCGCCTCATTCCAGATTCTTGTGCAGAATCTCTGGTGGTTAGCGTCTTACAAAGCAAAGGGTTTTGGAATGCAGGATGCCTGGATTTAAATCCTGACTCCACCACTTGCTAGCTGTGTGACCTTGTAAAATTTCTGAACCTCTCCAAACCTCATCTGCAAAATGAGGCCATTACCATGCAGGGTTATTCTATATGAGCGACGATATATGCAAAGGGCTGGGTGCAGAACACAATACAGTCTTTGCTCAGAAACACGTTGAAAATTGCTCAACCAATTCAAGGAGGACAGACCCAGAGTGAGAAAGACCATCTCTCAGCTCAAGGATGGGAGAGACACGTGGACTTCTACTTCCTAACTGCCGGCCACCCGAGTGTATATTGTGATGGCTGCTAACATATGCAGAAGCAGGCAGCTCGGATTCCTAAAATATTCTGAAAACCAGTAATAGCTTTGGTATCGTCCCCTGTTAAATATAAAACTTAAGTAATTCGTTCTATTAAAAAGCCTGGGTCTTATTTTTATCGCGTGATGTGATGAGGCCCTGTTCTAAATGCGCCTCCTGGGCCTGTCACCATAGCAACCCTGCTGTGCTCATATGGCCATAGATTTTTCCTGAAGGCTAATTAAGTTGACAACTGCTAGGGCTTCTTGGTTTACCAGATTTGCACCTGACCCTTCTCCTGGGGCTTAGGGACCCCTATGGATGTGAAGTGATAGAGAAAAAGAGTAACAGGTGGAGGAGGCCTCTCCGTGGACCCCTCTTTCAAATAGTTGCCCAGCAGCCTCTGGGACTGTCAATCACTCTCTCTGGATGAGCCAAGAGTTGGTGGAGGTGAGCGGAGGGAAAAAATGCTAATGTCCATCTCCTTCCATGACAGGCCTTGTCTCTGGCGGGGTTGGGGGACCAGGTACCAGGCAGTAGACATTGATCAACTTTGACCTGCCTGATGGAACCCCTTCTATCACAACCAGGTGGGTTGCTTTCTATGTGCCGTGTGCTTAGTCAGTCGTGTCCAGCTCTTTGCAACCCCATGGACTGTAGCCCGCCAGGCTCCTCTGTCCATGGGATTTCCCAGGCAAGAATACTGGAGTGGGTTGCCATTTCCTTCTCCAGGGGGTCTTCCCAACCCAGGGATTGAGCTAGTGTCTCCAGTGTCTCCTTCATTGCAGGCAGATTTTTTTATCTGCTCAGCCATCAGGGAAGCCCTGTTGCCTTTTATGCCTCCTAGTTATCACTTCATGAATTTCAAATACCCTAGGAGTGACCATAAGAGAAAGCAAAGAAAGCTCACCTCGATTGTCAAAAGTGCTGTTTACTTGAATTTTGACATTTGCTTTTGAAAAAAAATTAACACTTGCCTTTTTCTATAGATAATTTGGAAAATGCAGAAAGTTGTCAAGTAGAAAATGACACAGCTATGTTGAGCATCTGCGGTGGTCTTTCTGAGTTACCTGGGCCGCGGGACTGCGCTTCCTTTGCACTCTCCCCCCCTCTTGCTCAGACACCTGTGTGCTCACACTGGCTGTGCAGAGGTTTGCTCAGGGGGCTTGGCTTGATGGGTCAGAGGTGGGCTCAGGCTGAGGGGAGGGACTAGCAAGAACCCTGCCCAAAGCTGACATCTAGGGCCCGTGACACTTGCTACAGATAGGAAGATTCAAGAGAGAGAAAACATTTCCAAGGACATCCCTGATGGTTCAGTGGTTAAGACTTTGCCTTCCAATGCAAGGGGTGTGAGTTCGATCCCTGGTCAGGGAGATAAGATCCCACATGCTGAAAGCACAGGTGGAGCTTCACCACACTGTAAGTGCCCCCTAGTTATTTCTGGAAGTCCAGAGTGAGCCTTACACATGTGGGTGAGCACGTGGCTGCTCCTGCCTGGGACCACCGCAGGGGACCTGCCGGGAGTCCCATCCATCAGCCTTCCACCTCCTGCTTACAGCCAGTGGGTATTTCTTTTCCCGCCAACGCTGAAGACCCAAAGTCCTCAAGGAGCCAGTGCTGCTTCTTGTTCTGCTTCAAAANCCCATCCATCAGCCTTCCACCTCCTGCTTACAGCCAGTGGGTATTTCTTTTCCCGCCAACGCTGAAGACCCAAAGTCCTCAAGGAGCCAGTGCTGCTTCTTGTTCTGTTTCAACACCAGGACGAGTACCTGGGTCCCTGCCTACAGTGATGCCTGTTAGAGAAGTGCCTAACTAGAACTATTGATCCCTGACCCTGGGGATTCCTCTTTGGGGTTTTATTTCCAGATTCCTCGTTCGATATGGGTGAAGCCCAGAGGCAGTATTCTCTTTTCCTCCAGGACAGATCCTTTCTTGGGAGGCCCTTCAACACTCAGGCAGGTGGACTTCTGCTGGGCCAGACCACTGGTGATCTTCATGCAGGAATTCAGACTGTAACCCTGCTCTTCTTCCAGCCATCCCTCACTGGGGACATCCCACCCTGCTCAGCTTTGTGTCCTGGTGGTCCAAGGATTTGCAAAGTCCTCTGGATGGGGACACGTCCTCCTCTCCACCCCAGAAATCACCACCTTGGGTCACAGGGCTTCCTGGTCTTTTCCCTCAGCCCGAGCCACATCCTCCTGCATCTCCCAGCCTACCCTACTTCTTTCTCTCCTTCTGGCTCTCCTCTCCCCTGATCCTCTGCCCTCTCCCCCTGACTATTATTCTCCAGCCACACTCACAAGCCTAGAGGGTTCGCCAGCTTCCAAGGAGGCGGCACCTCAGGGCTGGCTGACCACCGTGGCCACACATCTCAGCTGAATTTGCAAAGGGGCAGAGGAGTCAGATAACCTTCTGGAGCCTCAGAACGTAAGGGGTTTTGGCTCTGCTCAGAGTTGTGAGGTTCTCAGGTTTGCCTTTCATGATCATCGTCTAATAATACCTACTGCGTGCTGAGGCGGGCATGCATCCTGCCAGCCACCGTGCAGAGTTATGTAAAAGACTCGGCCTGTGGTGGCAGGCTCCCCAGTGTGGCAGGACAGGCCCTCCGCGTCCTG